GAAGATGAACTAAATTAACCCTAAAAAGCAGTGGAATTGATATATCACAATTCTCAGCTTACATTACGAGTCGTGCTTCTACATCTACGGCATATAGAGCTAGAGTATCACGTCCTTTGGGTCTGGATTTAACAGAGTTTTCAAGAACAATTGTGGCTCCTACTCAGGTCTAGATCTTATTAGATTGTTATGTGTTGCAACTTATTTACTTATTTGGTGTTACGCTTCTATCTTTTTATACAATAAAAGTTAACAGAGAAATCTAGATCGTTTGTCTCTAAACATCTACTAGTGTACTACTGTTGTAATTTGAAAATGACAATATGCAGTATAATTTTTTTACTGAATTTCTGAAAAGAATTTCGATCCAACCATGTACGTCCCCCTATCCCTTTCGATCTAGCTCTCCTTCTTAAATCAAAATTGCAATGACGAGCTAGCGTTAAATAGACTAGACGGACTCGGGATCGGTGGTGACAGAACCGGATTTGCTTTAAAATCGTGAGGACTGGGCGCAGAAAAATTGGAATATTATTGTAATTCTTCGAACGGCAGTATTCATATACGAGTAGTTCCTATCAATTTTCCTTAAGGTAAGTCAATTGTGGGATGACACCTTAGCCCAAAACCTGTTAAATATATGTTTGTCTACTCGTTGAAAAGTAACAACTTTCTTATTTAAAATAGAAAACCTTGTATATTAAGCCATTTTTAAATTCCTCGGAATTTTCTAGAGATATAACGGTTTGACCAAACGTGTAATTTTTGGACTATGTGAAGCCAAGCCGGTTTGCGTGGAAACGACTGTAACTTTTGACTTTTAAATATCAAACCCTGTACTTTTTTGGATTCGGGAGATTATATAAAAAGTACGGCTTTGATTAAAAACACCAGTAGCATCTAACAAAATCCCTATTTTAAAAATGAAGTCAGGGATTTTTTTTTACATTCTATCAGATTTTCTAGATGCTTTAAATTTTTTATTTTTTTAACGTCATATTAAAAGGGCAACTCTTCTCTAATGTAACAAACTCCCCACAGCTCTTCACTTTTCCTAGATACCTTTGCCACACTGTATATTCTAGCTAGATGACACCTGCAGATCTGTAACATTCTAAGAGTATTGTAATACTATCTGTAATCAAATTCCCAGAAATTCTAAATTCATTTTATTTAAGAATGGCGTATAACAATAATAAATACATAAACAAATTAAACTTTACAACTTACAACTCGTGTTTAGAGTACTATTTAGACAGTACCCGGTAAATTGTTATTACAAAATATAATTAAAGGAATTTGGATTTCACTAAGACCTTTCTTCGGATACGATCAATTAAAGCACTTCCTGCTTTGAAAGAATTTTTTAACGCATGTATTTTGTAAAATGCGCACTCAATCAACTCTTCTTTTATTTAAAATAAGATTGCATCAAATAATTACCCCGGCGAAAGTTAGATTTATTTATAACGTCCACGCACTGGTGTTTTCGCATAGCTTGGCTTACTATTCCCACACAGTGGCCATTTTTAATAGTAGGTAGCAAATAGACAGCGAAAACTAATTTCGAAACAAACTAATCATCAAATTACTAAAACAATGTAAGTCCTCTAAACATCAGTAGAACCTACCTAAGTTATGTCAAGATACCTTCATAGATATTACATTATACCAGAATAAAGAAAAGATTTTCAACGATTTCCTTTTGAGAATATCCAATCTTGCAGCGGTTGTAGCGTCCATCCATTTCTTGTGCGTCTAGATGCCATAGTCGACAGTTCGCTTCTTGAATAAATACGATTATAAAGCGTTACTTCAACGATTTTAAGTACGATGTAGAAATAAATTTGTAGCACTTTTTCCTGCTATTTTCCAGACATAAACATACTTGTAAAGTGTCAAGTAATATATCATCTCGTCATCCCGGATACATTTTTCAGAATGACATCAATTTTTTTTGTACATTTTTGAAAATTTTCAAAATATACCAATGGCTAAAATCTACGCCAAACATAGGATCGCTACCAAACCCGTCGCCCAAAGTGCCGGAAACCGCAGTGACTCTTTGCGCACGCTTGATTAAAAGCACACCCTATGAAATTAAGGATTAATTAAATATTGTAAAACACCATGTGTCCATAAATCGCGTTGCTAGCAGTTGTAAAGCTGGTAAGTTTGTAAGTTTCAAATATCTTGCTAAATCGTGTTATGTACGTTATAACAATAAAATGATTACATCATACACCAATACAAGGATAGTTGTTATTGAATGTTTCTTTAGTGATATCCATCAAACAGAGTAATTTGTATTCCATTTTGATTTAAAACCGGCAAGCTTTTCCTTTATTTTTTAAAGAAACTACGAAAAAATGAAATTCATATGAAAACAATTCGGCCATTCAAAATTCCATTTTCCAAGTAACTTCATATTTTTTCCGCCAGAGGTCTCATTGAATTGTAAAATCCTCAATTTTAGAGGGGCGATAACAAAAAAATTATTTCCGCATAGTCAAAATCAAAATGTCAAAATACTGGGGCGCCATTGGAATTTTATCGTTTTCGACTATGCTTGGAGGAGCTACTTGACGAAGGTACTAAATCCCCGAAAGAGCCACTTAGAGAATAAACAATTGTGGCGTTCTTAACCATGTCTTTTCCAGTCGTTTTCGAAAACATCCGCTCTCGAAAGGGTGTTTACAAGCCGCGTCGGCCACAAGACGTTCTTGGAAGCGAATAAGGAAAAACAATCGATACACGCCGATCGAATGAATCCGTCTACAGTGACAATGAAAGTCTGCCAGCTTAAAAGCGATAAAGAATTTTCCGAAACGTTTTGATTGGTTTGTTATTTGAACTTGCTCAGCCAAAACTGTTAATTTTATGTTTCATTTACCGAAAAATTGCGAGCTCTATTTAGGTTTTAGAGCTGGTTATTCTCATTTGCCTCGAATATTTGTTTAAGTTTACCGTGTTTCCATGTGATATACTCGTTTACAGGTTTCTGTTTTTGAACCGTTTCAAGCTGGCCGCATCCTCGGCTTTGCGTATTCGATTTTTTAAAATGTATATTTAGTATTCTCTATAGTTATTATTAACCGTTAGTTGACATTGTTATCATTTTAATCCGTCAAATATTTTTAAAAGTTCCTTTTTATCCAATAATTGACCAATCGAATTGGAACGACGAAAACTTTTAGCTGAAAATAACTCAACGAATTTCTATCGATTTGGCCCATTTGCCATTCTGCTTCGAGGTTTATTTAAAACACCTCGCAACGATCGGAAGTGACAGATTAATTTGGGAACGATCGGTGGAATATATTGGACTGCATCAAATTTATCGTCTTTTCGAAAAGAAAAAGTATACTTATATTTATTTTTTGCATTTATTATACTGAATAGTATATTAATGAACTTGTTGTTCGACGTAACTACTTCACTGAATATATAATTTTAATTTAATTATATAATAATAATAATAATAATAATAATAATAATAATAATAATAATAATAATAGTAATATAGTAATATAATATAAAGAATAAAATAACGAAAAAAGAGACTTACTTAATTTGATCTACAAGGTTTCCTGAAAAATATGGAAATCCCTATGATCAAATAGACCACGATAAAATAACATCAAAAGTTGCTACAATTCTTTTTTCTAGAGGGCAAAATTTTGCTTAACACCAATTGGGAGCGACTAAAATATCCTTAAATCTTGTATGATAAAAACCAAAAATATATATTTTTGAATAGATCGACAAAAGAAGTTGTACTAGATGAACTAGTTTTTAGAAAAAGAAAAATAATTTGTTTCGTATTTAATGAAATTTTTTTTTATAAGTGGATTTTTTTTTTGCAATAAAAAGTAAATAATTTTCAGCGGCATTCTTTAGAGGCTTCTTCAAATGGAGGGTCTATAGACACACTCTGAGACTGATGTAATATACTGCGCCTCATATAGTCGTTAATCAAATTACTGCCAGCGAAGCTTTCAGAGATAAAGATAAGAGGTGTTCTGTTTCCTAAAGTTGTAGCTAAATCTGCAACCTACTCCGATCTCGCTGCAAACTGCAGTGGTTCAAGCGATTCAATATCACAACTTCACAACGTTTCATCCTTAGTTACTAGAGACAAATACTTGCAAACTTGCAGATTTAATAGGAGAAACATATTTTTTCAATGAAAATAGTTATTTGAGTACACAAAATCTTCTCGTTACCCTTAGACAATGTTGGCAATTTGCTGATAGGTCGATATATATATTTTTTGAGATTGGTATTATAATTGACATTTTTCGAGAATTACATTGACTGCCCATGTGGAGGGGCAATAGTGGGAAAAACAAGTTTGATCAATTTCAGGTTAATTCATTCGTAGGGTTTTGGAATCGACCGTCAAATCTCTTTGTGTCAGTTGACCGAAATAATTTAAAAAGTACAATAAGATTTATATTTATATTATATTAATATATTTATTTACATTTGGGTTACATTGCGTCGTTTTGAGAACAAAATGGAGTCGATATTTTTATTGGGATTCCCCGAATCGCCAAATATATGGGTATTCTTTGAAGAGTGTTATAGGTAAGTTGGACATCACAAACGCATCATAATTTATTATAAAATACATATTATTAATCAATAACAAGTGTGATCAGTTTTGTTCTGTCACTTCCTTAAATTAAAAAACTTCTATATATATATATATATATATATATATATATATATATATATATATATATATATATATATATATATATATATATATATATATCCATCTAGGAAAAAATTGTTAAGTGGCTTGAGTAGTGAATATTTAAAAAATCTTTTTTCTCTTGTTTTAGTTTAAATTTTATTTATATCTAAGGTTCATATTTATATTTAACGAAGTTATAAAACAAATTGATTGTGTTAATATTCTGGTATTGTTACTCCTGCGACATGTGAATTTTTTCCTAATTTTTTTAATTAGTCAAATTTTTTGTTTTCTTCAGCCACTTTCATCCACCGCCGCGCTGCTAACGAGGATGGAAGTAGGTGTACAAAGCGGGTTCGTCGCGAATAGAAGCGGACCCCCTGCGACTCCTGCGGGCATATTGACCGCGGGGGACGTGAGACGAGGCAGCACGGAGCGTTCACCCGCCAAACACGGGCTTCACGTGGCCTTCAAGGACAAGGGCGAGATCAAGGAGAAAAGGGAAAAATTCCTCACCGCGAAATATGGACACCACCAGATGAGCCTCATCAGGAAACGGCTGGCGGTCGAGATGTGGCTATACGAGGAACTCAAGAAACTTTACGCACCCAATGTAAGTCTTAACTGATTGCGTATTAGCAAAGAAATGGGGATGGGCAACCCCGAAACCATCTTCCGGTTCTACAATCCTTGGACATTTAAGAAATTTATTATTAAAATTTATTTAACCGCTTTAACCTGGTACATTCCGTTCGCAAATATAAGAGTCTTAGACTTGATATACTATAGATCGACCCATGATAGTCTTACTAAGTAGATACGAGGATAATTGTAAGGGAACGTAAAACTAGTTCCGACATTATCAATTATTCGTTTATTTTGATTCCCATCAAAATGCCAAAAAGTCTACAGATGACGTGATAGTTTTGGTTTGTTTTGCTTTTTCAGTTTTTGCGGTCGCATGCACTACTTGTGAAAATTGAGGTTATAATGACCATATTGACAACGTATTCCATAAATTAAATAGCGTAAAATGATTATAACGTTTTATCGAATAAATTAAAACATACAGTAAATCACTTATCTTAAAATCGCAAACGTTGTTAATGTTTATGTGCCTTTAAATTTATATTTTCAAAAGACCAAGCAATACATTTAAAATTGGGATGTAACCTACACCAACGAGGACTTCTTGAAGAAATTCGGACCTAGTTCAAATTTGTCATATACATTGCCTACAAATAACTTATTTTGAAAATTGCCTTAGTGAACTAATCAAAATTATTTAATTGAGATTTAAAACCTTGCATCTTTTAGGCTGATTTCCGAAAAACCTTTCTAACTTGAAATGGGTTCGATTGATCTTACGAAATGATTAATTGACCATAACAAAACAACAGGATACAATACAACGTTCACTTCTAGCATCAAAACGCTTATAAGTAGCACTACAAAATTTACCAAATTTACCTACAATATAAATCGTCAGCGACTTTTAAGATTGATATGTTTGGGACTAAGCAAATGATATTTAACTTAGTACATATTTGTTTTGGTGGCTTCTTGAATCGAAAATGTTTTGTCATAATTCGAGTTAATTAGATTGATTTTTTTTATCTCAATAGGTTATTTCACAGATATCTGGAAATGATACCTGAGTGTTTATCGAGGTCACGAAAAGAGGTTATTTTTAATTCTCTTTACTTGTGAAGTAAATAATGAATAAAAATGGACAAGAATTTGCAATGCGATACAATTTATTTTTAAAGGTATGTTATTAGATGTGTATCTCGATATGGATATAGTCCAAATAAACTTAAATTAACAACTGCCATTTTGATTTTAACTAACAGACAAGTTACTTATTACCTGTTACCTACTTTTAACCTGTTATACCAATAGATCAGAATTCCTGTGCCGCACCGTCAATATGTCTCGATAAGTTATATACCCTATCAATATCTTACTTTCTCTATTTCGTCGCAGCATCGCTTAGTTTTTTGTTTTGAATTTTGAGGCTTCGTAAACAGAATACCGCTGGAAACGAAACTGAAAGCCGTGAAAGGTAAAACCCAAGTGCGGCGAAAATGAACATTTCCGCGAGACAAGGTTATCGACCCGACTTTTCAGGAAACGTGCGGGAGCGTTTCCAGATATTATAAGTATATCCCCGCCTCCCGGGAAATGCGAGAGAAAAAGAAAAGAAAAATAGGTATATTTTCGCAAGTTCTTTGTTAGTTTGTTAGTTTAAAATTATTAAATTATTCCAGTTTTAGATAATTTACCAAAACTAAACTACATTTGGAAAAAAAATCCACAATTTTTATCCTTGAGGTTGGACTAACCAATCGCGGAAGTATACAGATATATTTAAGCAACCTTTTCGGTTTTGATAAAAACGTTCTTAGGTTTTTTAAAAGTAAGGTGCTGTAACTAATTTATAAAAGTACTCATTATGGCATATTTTTATTTATTTATTTATTTGCCAAGCTATATAGTATTTTTAACAAATTACAATTTAATGGATAACAATAACAGTGACTAAAATGATTGCACTCGATTATAAATAAAAAACTGTCGCACAAAATACACTTTTAAGGATTTAAGTATGGGCGTACCTGCGTGAAGACCATCGATAACAATGAAATACGGGAAAAAAAACTAATGCATCTTTGCTTTTCTATTAAACGTTTTTTTTTTTATTAGAGAGGCAAATGGTGTATGACTGTCGTATGACCGGGCAAGGAATTCCACATTCGAATCGCAACAAAAATAGATGATTTTTGAAATGCAGCCGTTCTGTACTTAGGAACTCTGAATTCATTAACATTTCTGATGCCATGAGGATGCAAAAAACATTGAATTGAGTTTAAAATGCTAAAAATAAAATTATACATGTGACACGTTCTACGATTAGTCATATTCGGTAAATTATTGCTATTTAAATATGGCGTAATGTGATTACGGAATGGGATATTATAAGAAATACAAGAGTTTTAAACTTTCTGTATAAACAACATAAACAGACAAAGGGAAGATGAGACTCTCGCATAAATAATATTTAGTTTTAGCAGGCAAAACTTTTTTAAAATGGTACATTTTTTTTAAACGCATAAAAGCAATTTTCAGTATGTTATTAATATGTGATTGAAAAGCAAGAAATTTGTCAAAAATTACTCCTAAATTCTTAGCCTCGGTAAAAATTCATTATTTATAGAAGGCTCAAAAATCTACGTTATTTTATTTACAATGTTTTTATTATTATGAAACAGAAGAACACAGGACTCAGAGGCATTGAGTTTGAGGTTATGGTCCATAGAATCGACATTTACACTATTCAAGTCAAGATTAAAGTTTATTAGAAAACATTTTAAGTCGTCCGTAGAAAAAGAAATGTAAATTTGGGAGTTATCGGCATATTGTTGCATCACTGAATATTTGTTACACTCATTCATATCTGCTACATAAATACTATCAACAAACATCTCCCATCATCTTCAAACGGTCGAAGACAAAAATACGTTTGAGATACCGGACGAAAAATATCAACTAGACTCAAAGAATATCAAACAGCCTTAAGACTAAAACAAATAAACTCATCAAATTCTGGCATGTAATCAATTCTTCTACCAACGAAAAATCGGACAATCTATAGAAATCTATAAGCAAACAATCTTAACCGCGACTCAGGTCTTTACCTGTCATCCCAGACGATATCTATGAAACTCATTTAGCCCTTCCCACCTCAAACAAGAGTTTTAGTTAAGCACTGAAGAAGCCAACAGTATGATTGCCGAAACGTTAGCAAGTTCGACTCAACAACGATCGACACAGGAAGAATCCAGAAGTTTTGTAAATAGTTTCTATGACGTCATAACGTAGTTCAAATGTATCGGCAGTCACACAGCATTACATCGGAAGTAATGTGAAAGTAATTAGAATATCAAGCATATTCTGTTGGACGCAGTAATAATTTTACTTGCCACTAAACAATACGATATCTTCTACAAACAAAACATCTAAAATCATGAGGTACTCGTGAGTGGTATGTACTTTTCCTTAAAATGTTACTGTTATTACGATAAAGCTACCTTTGGGACATCTCCTGTTATTTGGGAAATTGCATTCTGCAGACATAAAAATAGTAAAATAATAATAAAATTGTATACACTGACTATGATCGATGAGATGGTGCATTTGGGATATTTTATAGTCAAAGTGGGCAAAGAGTTTTATGACAGTCAAACTATCCCCCATCGTTACATACAACGTGAAATGATATACACGGAACGGTGGTTTATGATATTTCAGCCAACTTAGTTGTCCCTATTATTATTTGTTTGTAAAATTCTTGCAAGATATGTATCAAATTATCGTTGTCGCAGTTTCACGTCGTTGCGTCCACTCTATTAAACTATTAGAACCAATTGCTGTTCACGAATTGTTTTTGTTTTGTTTGGCTTCTTTTCGACTTGATGTTGTAATACCACAACTTTCCTATTCATTTTTGTAAATAGGTTGACTCGTGCCTTCGCTTCGCATTTACGATACAATGTGACTTGTTGTATTCGTCGCATAAAAACGTCTCATCAGTAAAAGCACCAGGCGAAGAATAAAACCATTTACGTGTCAATTAGGCATCCGCATTTAGACTCAAATTACTGGTAAACGGTTCCGCCTGAAGACTTAAATATAAATATGTACAGAATTTCTTTTATTTTTTTACTGTTCACTGTGCGTTTTCGGCGTTTGGTGGTGCAGAGGCGTCCGTAACCGAGACTTCAAACTATGTTTTGGCCCAGTTAGTCATTATTGATGCTCTCTGCTGCTGACCATGCTATTTTAGCCCCACAATTTATACCACGTGCAACAGTCGAAAATGTCTTCTGAGATTTTTATAGAATAGAACCTGTTGCCCTGTACCAAATACTACACGACAGTATACAGTATATTATTTGTAAAAATGCGTAGCACGAAAATATAAGAGGATGATTCGAAGTAAAATCTAAAAATATAGAACATTATAGAATATAAAAACATAAAATCAGTAAGAAAATCTTATTAATTAATACCATTTTATTTCGGTTTTCAATTAAATGTCTGCAGACTTTAAATATTTTTGTTTAGAATAGGGATTCGGACTATAGGAGATATTAGATTGAAAGTTTATACAACTTAAGCCCCTTTAGCATAGAGGTCTTGAAGTGATAATAAGAGAAAGATAAATTTAAAAAATTAACTGTGTTCAAGTATCTACGGCGCTGGAGTCCATTGGCACCTCGCCATCACCGTTTTGTATCCACGGTTTGTTATATACTACGTAAATATTTTTAGACGCCCGTAAATAGGATTACGCGTTAAATATTTTTCGAAGTTGCAGTGTTTATCTACGGCTTTGCCGGGTTTATTTTTGTTTACTTTTGGGATAAAATATTAAACTTGAAACGGCAGACCGATATCTGTACCACTAATTAGAAGAAAAACAAAAATATTTTTTAATATTTTATTTTTGTCTGTAAATAAATTACCAGATTAAGAATTCAATTCTTGAAGGTTTGAAAGTTAGGATTTATTGTTAAAGCAATTCGATGGCACCAAAAGTAGAATTGAATT